CGGGTGGTGAGGCCAGGGATTTGGTGGACAACAACACGAGCGGACAGTTGTTAAATGTTAAGAGAGGTCTAATAAACTGGTCGTTGAATTTGTTTGGCTACGCTATAAGTTTGATCCCGCTCATTGGCCCTTTTATGGCCATGATATTTAGCGCCACTAAATTTTTTATTTTTTAATTCAGCAATATTATTTGAATCATATTTTATATGAATATTCTTTATATAACATGGAAGTTCCTAGTGTAGTTTTGATATAATATAAAAAGTGAATAATATATAACCCAGGATCTTAAATGTATTATGAAAATGTTTTTATATGGTATAATATAAGCATATTTTAAATAATATATTATATTATATGCTATTTAAAGTAATTTTCATAGTTTATTACTGCCTAAATTTAAATTAATTAAATTAATAATGATAATTAATAACTTTGATTAAAAAATTATTACAAACATTTAATTGTAATTAATCACTTATTGTACGAAAACATAATTTTATTTTACGTCCATGTTTAAATTACAAAGTAATCATAAATAAAAATTATGCAAATATCCAACAAAAATTATTCATCAAGCTTATTTGTCTCTCTGAGATACTTGATTACATAGGCTATTAAGTCGCCAAAGTACGGTATATTCTGGAGGCCCAGGCCCTCGATCATCTTGATCAAATAATTGGCTATTTGGCTCACGTAGCTCTCGGGCCCAAAAAAGTCCAATATACCTCGCTCAAAGCGCTTCATAGCCCCCTCGGCCCCCACCGACACCGCCATCATCATCACCACCGCCGCAGACAATAGGATTAACTTCGCGTTCATAACGTCTATTACAATAGGCTTACGAGTCGACCGTACGTTTCCGATACAAATGGTATGTATTTATTATACTATGCTTTTAATCATTATTATAATTTACAAATAATATTACACAATTAATTTCTAGTTAACAAGTTAATTTCTAGTTAAACATAAGTGTGTGTGTGTATTTTTAAAAATTATATGGAATAACATATGCCGGTGCTCTCATAGCTGTAGATTGAGGCCAAACGCGCTGTTTATCGTTTCAGTCGCCCATCTGATGAAAGGTCCAATGATTGGTAGGTCTTGGAGGTTGAAAGCGGTCGCAAAACGTACCAGGGCACTGGCAAAGTTGGCGATTATACCCTCGCGCTTCTGGCGCTCGGTGTCACCGTCCGACGCCACGGCCATCGCCGCCACCATCGCCACCAATAGTGATAATAATAGTATGAGTTTGGCGTTCATTACTCAATGATTGCTGAATAGGTATTAAATGTGTGGACTTGTATGCCGACGATTAGGTGTAGGTGTCCCGCATACGTGTGTTTGAAACATATTTATTAGTTTTGTTATAGGAATGGTATGTTAGGTGATCATACGATATAGTTTATTTTTAGCCAGCTTATCAGTTTATGGGAGGTGTAGGTAATGAATTATTTTTGGCTACCTATTTTCAGCAAGGTTTTTGAATAAGAATATTCTGTTGCTTATGAATGGTGACATAGAAAATCAAATTAATTTTATACATTAATTACAATAAATTATATATATCCTACTTGCATTAAAATAATCTATAAATTAAATAAAACAATTGTAGTAAATATTTATGAAATTTTATAATTGAATAAATAATATTCTTTAAGTTAAAATAAATTTTATTTGAGTATAAGTTTGATATTTTATTAGTACGTGTATACAACAAAATAATTATAATAAGCTATTATTGTAACAATAATTATAATCTATTAACAATAAATAATTTCCACATAATTATTTTAAATAAACATAAGTTTTATTAAGAATTATTTAAATGTAACATAAAACACATGTATTCTAGGTAATCAACCGTTTAGATTCAGGTGAACCATGCTAGTTAACCGTGTTAGAAAATCAACAAATATTTTGAAATATGGGCTAAGCACAGGTATGTTTTGTAGATTGAAACCCGATACAAAACGTACCAGAGCATTTAGAATATTCTGGATCACATCCCGTGCCCGGTTCTGGATGTCAACCCCGGATGCCATGACCACCACCGCCATCATTGCCACCAATAGAGATAATAGTATTAGTTTTGGGATCATTGCTAAATAATTATTAAATAGGTATTAAATATTTAATTTAACTTATACACGTTTTAGTTAAATATGACTTAAATGGTAGGTTTGTGTTATTTATCAAGCTATATTATTGGTTGCAAAATTGCATTTTATTTACTACATATAACAGTGAGTTTATTTTGCATACAATGATCCGATTGTGTGCATCAGTTGTAGTTATCATATGATTAACGCAATAGCTTTTGATATTATGGTTGTATATTGTCGTCGACAATGTTTTGTGGTATGTTTTACCAGCTTATGGCCAACCCGTCAATTAAACTCATTTGGAAATATAGTTTTGAATTTTGTTGTCACAGAACTGGCTTAGAATTAACAAGTTTACAGTATTTACATGTATTGTAATTATTTTAAAATTATGTTTAAAAGTTAATTACTAAAATTATTATTATTATTATTTTAAGAGAGAGAGAGAGAGAGAGAGAGAGAGAGAGAGAGAGAGAGAGAATTTAGATAAAATCTATATTTAATGAAAAATAAATTTACCACATACAATAATTAAAACAATTTTTACAATTATTCAATAAATTAACATAAATAAAGTAACAATTAATTAAAAACGATTAGCCAGCAAGGCTTTTAAGTAACTTTAGAAAAAATTTTATTAATGGGCCTATAAAATACACATTTTCTAATCCCAGCGATTTGGACTGATTGTCCAGGGTAACCACCATATTGTCCACCACTCGGGCCAGTTGTACCATTTGGTCCTCTTCCACGAGCGCCGACACCATAACCACTATCATAGATATGATCACTATTTTTAGTGTTATATTTGCATACTTTTGGCACATTGTATTTGTTTAATACATTTTTTTTATAAATAATGTTCTTGCCCATTAAATAAAATAATGTTTTGTTTCAAATTACTATCAAATAAAACTATGTGCCTGGTACAACTCATTGGTTTTGGCTCAGGGGCGTGACGTGTATGCGCGCCGACATCTGATTTTAGTTTTGATTTAAAATATTGTATTATAT